GGATATATATATATATATATATATATATACATATAAGTCCGGATATCTTTCGACTAGTTGAGAACCGTTTTAGTAATACGAGCGAAAAATATTTATCGCCAATTGAATCATCAGAATGAGCTCCAGTTATTTTAGTTCAGTCTTTTTGAGCTACGCCATCAAATCTACACTTATCAATGCTGTTTGATGCATGCTTACTATTAAAAAATTATTTTCGAATCAAAGAAAGGGTAGTTTAAAGGTGGTTAGGGAGCAGCCCAGATCGACAATGAAAATTGTAGGTGAAGGCAACGGATATTACATCAAGCAAACCATTTCATGGTTTCTAAAAGCTGGATCTGAGCCCAACACTCTGTATATATATGTGCTGAATAAACACCTTAAAGATTATTACTCAATAACTGGGGTTGACAACCAAAGAGTACTTCTTTTTGACAGTTAAAGCCGAGCCCCGATATATCATGGCTCACATATGGACTTGACAACTATATAATCCTATAGTTGATTAAAGTACAATGATTTTTTTCTGATAACAAAACTGAGGATATGTGCTTGGACATACACCCAGATGAGGCTCATAAATTTGACATCAGAGGGTGTACTAGACCAGTAAAACGTCGGCTTTCTAAATAGTATAAGACCCGAAACGATGCAGTATAACAGAAAATAGTTCTATTTGTAGGTTACGATTAGTACTCGATCACAATGAATAACCCTATAATATAATCATACGCTGTGAAAGGTCTAAAAGATACTGTACTCCTATGATGACCTTCGTTTTCGGTTCGGTTCTTGTGTCATCCTGTTACAACTGTATGTATCCGTTTGATTTAAATCGATAGTTGTCAAAATGTACAGCTACCTCAGAGTTTTATTTATTTCTTTATCTGTAATAGTCTTTCACCGGCCACTACATATGGTTCGCGTTTGTTCCTTTCGTTTCTCTCCTCAGCATCATAAATCATAATCATCAGCATCGCCACTGTATGTTGTATCGCCTGTATTATGTTTTTCGGTTATTTTCATCGTTGTTATTACAAGGAAATTACCCTCAAGCAGGTACCCGCGTAGCGAATTACCGGAGAAGTTCGTCTTGTTTATTGTGCTGTCAGTATGAATTCCATTTAATCATAACCATCATGTCTATGCTACTCTATAATGTCATTACCTTGATAACTGCTATGTATTACTACTTGTTCCTGTATTACTTATGAATCCTTCATATGATACACATAATATATTTATATACTATAGTATATATGAGACATTTCTGCTAACCGTCTGGTCACGACCAATCGGTGTGGCATTGGCAATGCTGCCGCTGCCACTCTGATTTTTGTCATCATTATTTACTTCATAACGGTGAAAAATATAAGACGATATGTACCACTTTATTACATCTACAGCTTTCGCTATAATAGTAACGTTATCTATTCGTGGCACCGAATGTCCAAATGAAATATCATTAAAAAAATAGCTATTGGTTTCGTCGTTACCAGATTAAGATCTCTCTCAAATAAACTTTCCTTTTCCCAATAGGCTATATATATGTAGTAGCTATAAATTTTCCAAACTAATTTACGGCTTGATTTTTGAAAATGAGCGCGCCTGTCAGCCAGTAACAGTGGCATGTTTTGATTCGGATACGACGACGACGACAACAACAACAATTATTTTTTTGAATCAGTGTCAAAAAGGACGTTACCTATTATAATTATACCACGGGTAACGGCCTCTATGGAAAACGAAAAACGGAGTGAATCAACCAGGCAGGCTAATGTATGGCGCTCTGGTGACCGCGCGTGGAAACACCTTAAACATGGTTCCGCTTAGCAGCGGAGCTCAAAGTGAACATTTTTTTTTTTCGTTTTTTCTACTTAAAAAGCGTCAGATGAAGTTCTTAACGTTGCTTAAGTTTAGCTTTAGTTACTCTGAGTCCACACTTTTTGCACTAAATACATATATAGATATGTATTGATAACAACATGCTTTAATATTCTTTCTGTAATCTCATCTTAGTATTTGTTCTCACTGCTATTCATAATTGAAAACATGATATCTTTTTCTAGATATGTATGCGTGTGTAATGTTGTGTTTTTTTGTTATTTGTCTATATCTGAAGCTAATTTCTGATGTCTATGGCATTTTGACTTAGATGCTGAGCGCCTTGTTTTACCCCATACCGTTTTGCATCTTTGACCCTTTTTCTTATCATTTTGTTTGTTTGTTTGCTTGCTTGCTTTATTCGGTCCTTCTTACTGCTTGCAACACATTGCTCGCCGAAGGCTGCATTGTAATGGTTGTCTTTCTCTCACCCGGCGTTATCTTTTTTGCCATCTCTTTCTCGGAACTGTTTTGTACGGGTCGACACATTTACGTTATATTTTCTTTCTTTTGCTACCATCACCACCCTTACCCTGGTATGTCGCGTAGAAGTGCGATTTTTCGATTCACCTGTCCTGCTCTCGTCTGTCTGAAGACTACGATGGCCGTAACGACACTAACACGGGCCATACCGTACTTACCTGCGGAATGTGGGCTGCAAAAAAACAGGTGGAAATCTGCCGCACCTTTGGGGTGCATCTACCCTTCGCTAAGCTGGCTAAAAACCCCTTAGCCAGCCCTTGTCCGCATTGTGGTGGGCTGTTACTTTACCTCGCTTCTGTCTACCACTTACTCTAACAGTTTGTTTGAAGCTAATTATTGAGGAGTTCCTTGAAGAAGCAACTATAGCTTTGAAAACGGTAGCCAAGTAAGAGCTAGTTTCCAGCTAATGGCCTAAATAAATTCGAGAATGTTGCGGACAGATCGCGGAAGAGGAAAGGGATCACACGTGGAAGTAACCTTCGAACAACAGAATTCATGTCGTACAGAAGAGACATAGGTCACTCATGGGAAACTCGGCAACTGTACATGTAAAGTGAAACGATCCTATATCTGGGCTTATTACTGTCAATCACACATCAACGGACAAGCGTTCTTCTCAAAGAGTCGAGGGAAATATAAGTAGCTCGAAGCGATTATATATTAGGGTAATTTTTATCATTAAAAAAAAAAACCGAATGTGGTGCCAAATCATTATGTCACCGAGGCCCTGCATGTTGTGAAATTTTAAATGGGCTATAAGAATTTTGCTTTTTGAATCGAGAACCGCATATCTTCTGACAGCAAAAAGACATTTCTTCTATTAGGCAATTTTCTAACTAATAAGAATTTCATCTCGAAAATTTTTTTATGTGTCCTATCTTTAACTACATTTTGTGTTTGAAGGTTCACTGAGCAGAGGTACCACTTACGCACGCATTCGGCTACATTGTTCTTGCGTCCTTATCTTTAGTAAGAGTGATAGTAGTAATGATAGAGATAAAAGTCGTCATCTGCAATACCACCTAGCCGCTTTTGTTCCTGTGTTTCTTGGCAGTACCAGGTACATCGTAACTGGAAGGCCGCTTGCCAACTAGGCAACAACAGCCCGCTTTAATGATCTCGGTTAGCGCCGTGGAGCCGATTTTAGGGGTAAAGGCAAACTGACGATAATTAGCTTCAACAACTTTCTTATATATGTAATGAACCGACAAGTGTCGCCAGTAGAATGTTAGGTGACTCCACTCCTATATAACGAGTCTCGAAGTATCGCGTTCGTTGAAGTGGAAACGCGGAGAATCCCCAGTGAGTCACACATTGACATTCTAAAATGGCAGATACGAGGATGGATCACTCCAAAAAAAAGATAGGTAAAGTAGATTAAATCTGCGCTGTGAGAAATAAAATAAAGAACGGTATGGCCCAAAGTCACGTAGTGCGATATCATATATATATACGCATGTATGCAAAGTGGACTCGGAGTGAAGATCAGGAGCACAAGTTGACTGACTGATTCACTAACAAGACCGATAAACACGTTGTGTGTACGGCAAGACATGCAATTCTCTATGAGTGGTCCGTGAAATGTGTTGATATGCTTGGCGACTATATTTATTACTGCCCTTTACTTTCATGTACTTAGCTCGAATCGGTCGTTTTCGGAGCTTCAGTCATTTTGAAAATGTTCACAGTCTGGATGATACAGCGGTAGCCTTCTTGAAGTCACATGGTCAGGTTTCATACGTAGGCGTTGGTAAGCTTACGGTAGCATTGTATGCAATAGTCGTAGACCTATTTCAGTAGAGGAATTGCCTGGTGACGGGTGTCGTTGCATCATGAGGCAAACAGTCATCTTGGCAGAGTTAGTAAAACGTTTGAGTCAGTAAAGGCTATGGTTAATTTTTGCCGTGCCGTGGAAGTCGTCCGGCGAATTAATTTCGGTCTGCGTTGCTGCGGCCAATAACGGCACTCCGGCTGTTACGCCACCTGCCGGCGATGAATAATCTATTTCATCATCGACGAGATACAGAAATAAGGCCCAGTACGAAAGCATAAACAACGTGAATGTTAGCGGAAATATAATTCGCGCCCAGGCGTCCACCTCCCCAGAGATCTCGTGCGGGGTCAGTGCATCCTCACTCTCGGGGCGAGTCGCGATCTGGATGTACCTGAAAAGTTCAAAAACACCGCAATTGTGTTATCCTAGTTGCATGTTGAAAAAGATCAAGGATTCGTAATTTTAAGTTGTGACGGATACCTTCAAGTTACCGTATATGAAACAGAATACTTACGAATTACTACGTCCTTGGAGACCGAACAACTACAAAACCGATTTCTGATTGCTCACATCGCAATAAATAAAGCAATTGGGTAGAGACGCGACTGAACATAATAAATTACATATAGTATTCGCAATCCAGTAGCTCTCATTATTGCGTACGTCATAATGCTAATAGATCCTAGACGTAGGCGGAGGAATTTGTTCGTCATTACTGTGTAAATTTACATTTTCCTTATGCAAAATTGTAATAATGAAATTATTTTGTAACTTGACAGGACAGCGAAAATATTCATTTTTGTTTTTTTTGCTCGTTGACGTGTGCGCAACGTTGAAAAATGTTATTTGCGGCCTATCGTAATTATTATAGATTTGTCAGCCTATTGGTGTTGCCTACAGACAACTAATGTTCTTAAATATTATGTTGATATAAAAGTATTTACGATTAGAACCGTGTTGCGTTTTCTATATAATTTGCACTTGAACTCGCATTTTCTATGCTATCAAATTATAGCACCGAAAAGCTGGGTATGTTTCGACATTGTCTTCTTAATTGCTTCTTTTGTAATTAAAAAAAATTACACCTGAGATGGGTGCGATATTTATAATATATGTATATCATTGCTTATAAGTAAAAATATTTTTCGTGCCTTTTAAAGAGGATGTTTTATTACATTTTTTCCCCGCAATGAAAAATAGTTGAACTCTAGGCAACTCTGTACAGCAATTTAAATTGTCAAGTTCAATCAAGGAGTGGAGGCTTTGGGCAAAGAAATGATTATAAAAAGTGATGTTATTCCTTAAAAATATCAGTCCGGATCTGGCCTTAGTAACTTGTGTCTAAGTTCTTTGGGTCACCTTTTGAGTTTTGACGGCCCGTCCGTCCTTAGGCAGTGCTTCATATGGCTAGTCCTCATCATAAAACAAAGCATGCATACGCCTTGTTTTAAACCTTGTTTTCAGAAAAGGTGTAGGGAATCGATGTACGAATCGTTTGGAGCCCGAAACGACTTATCGTGAAATCCAAGTGTGGGACTATCATTGACCTCAAAAAACGCTTACCTTTTGGTGTTGTTAAATGCCGCATTGAGCAAAAAGCAATTACCCACTAGCTGTAATTCTCCGGGGGGAGGGCTTCAAGACTACGCGTTAGGCCTATAGCACCTTGTATGTCCTTAAATTGGGTAGGCAAACACGTTACCACTGCACCGCCATAGAAACGGCCTTGCTACCCTAGAACAATATGACGGATCATGACTTAAACATTAGTTTACGACCAGCTTATAATATTGGCTATGCTCCTTACGACATGTAAAGGGCAAGCGCTCCCGAATAAGGAGCAGAAGTTTGAAAATGGGTCTGAAAACGGATTGCGCCCTTCGATCGGCTAGTATTCTGTTCCGTAAGCTAATCGAATTCGAAGTAAGCTGAAAAGTATTTTTATTGCGCCTAATAATTAGCGGCGCAGATTTGAACTAGATACTATGACGATTTATTGTTGTTTCACCTCAAGTCATGAACGATATTTCGAGGTGCATGATGTAGTAACAGATTGTATACAGTAGGATGTTTCCAAACCACTTCTAGTATTTGAAGAGATAATTACTTTTCCACTTGGCAAATTCGACGATTTGTTATCAAGACGGCTGTTTGGATACGCCGCACCCTCCTAGTCTTGTATCTTTACGCGTCGACCCAGAAACGTGCAAGTATGCATGCCTTTATACACATTTGTACCTTTAGAATACAATACACGTTCTCGCTTCGCAAACGACTCTTCCTGCCGGGACTGTCTGGCTATATCAAATGTTCCATTTGTATGTCTGTTTAAAGGAAACATAAATGGAACACGCTGACGTGCAAAGCCACTTTCGGGAAAAGGTTTTACCGGACGATCCAAGTTACTGGCATGTGAATTGAAGTCAAACGCAAAAAATACTAATTCTCTAACATTGTAGTAAAGCGAAGCTATTTAATTGAAATCATTAATGAGGTACCCCAATTCACGTCTAGTTGTTACAACCTATTTATGCAACTCTTTTCCTTAGTTTTTATTACGAGTGATATATCTGTTTACGAGTTTTCTTAGTGACTTTGACAATGAAGTATTTAACAAGCAAATATTTCAAGAGAACTCCCAAAAAAGCGTTTGAACCTTTAACTGAAGGTGTTGGTCATTTTTTATGGACTTAAAATGTTCTTGAAAAACACTTTTTTTTGTGTAAAAAACCCTCTATTTGCAGAACACAATAGAAAACTGATTATCGTAGTATGCCCTATGCATATAACGACGATAAGTAAGTGAGAAATCCCAGTTTAAGCGGTACTGCTTTTTATTTAACTGATCCAATATATTGAAATTAACTAGAAATATAATGTTATAATTATGTAAATGTCTGAAGCAAACTAACGCGGGCAACTATAAAGGCATATTCTAATCTTTTCACTAGCATTTGCCCTTAAGTGAGACCTCAACCCTTGTACCTCATCTTCCTATTGCAATGCAAAGGTTTGGTTTAACTTAAGTTTTATTAATGCTTAGGTTCTCGCAAAAAGTAGTAATAAAAAATGTTACATTGCACCAAATATTTTGCACCATAATTATTAATTAATAATACTTTTTACACTCTTTTTGCATAATTATCCAATTTATGCCTTATTTACATGCTTTTTTCATACGTTTTTTACTCACTTGAGCATGCCGATTTTACGAAGAAAAAAACTCTATACTGACAGTGGGCGGCAAGCAGAAGCGTTCCTACTAGATTCGTAGCCATAAAGAGCATTCGTTAGAGCGACTGACGACGACGATAAGCAAGAAAAGATCTTTTGAAATCTTCAAAGCAACACGAGCAAAATCCATGCTTCTTGCATTATGTTGGGAAACCTCGCACGAAACAAAGTGGACCTTAACCCAGGTACAACAGCTTGTTGCAAAGTTTCGTAGGCAAACGTGTTACCGTTGTACTATCGTAGGAATAAAGGATAATAAATATATTGTATTATATATTAGTGACCCTTTTTTTTTAAATAAATAATACTCTACAAGTCCTTCTTTTATTGGCATTAACAAAAATGTTCTGAAAATTTCGATAATATCCTCCACATGCTGACGAATGCGACCACACGTTACCGGCGTCTGAATGCCAAAAAGCATAAAAGTGTTATCCGTATAAGCAATGTTCTTATATATACTATTCGACGATATGTCAAGCACTGCGCAACTGAATTCTGAAAGCAGTAAACATCTAAAAACCGAACTTGGAAGAAAAATGAGTAATTTGAGCATTCAAAGCAATATTTTAACATTTGCAGGAAAATCCGAGTAACTTAAGCAGTTGAAAGCGGCTGCAGGTTCTAAAACCAAACTAAGGCAGACATGCCTATTTTTAATGCCGTTGGTGATCTCCTGCCAATGCCAGCTCAGTTGATCGAGACTTCCGTCCGTATTGAGTAAGTGAAAAAGGTTGATTATTTTTGAAATGTTTGTCGAATCGATTAATCACTAACTTTCCAAGGAAGTTGCATAGATAGCCCTTCAAGGATATCAAGCGGCAGTTAGTAATTCGGGTAAGTTCTTCTTTAGTTAGTAATAGACGAAAGATATTTCGCGTTTTTTAATCTAGAAGCCCGTATCACTGAATGGATTGACTACTCTGGCTAGGGGCAAAAAAGAAAGGTGGAATAGGCGGTGCTCTCATGACTGTCTGTGCTACCCCAATTCTCACGCGTACATCCCAAAGCATCTTCCTACGGGAGTAATATAGCAAACAGGTAGATACAGATAGAAGCCTTACTACACAGAAAATTAGATGCTGTTTTTTGTGACCGCCTTTGAAAGTGATACGGTGGACGATGAAACTCAGCCCGGTGATCATGGACTTAATAAGGTGGCAAATGCCCTTAATCTCCGAGCTGGTATATTTTTAGACTGCTGAACTTCATTTGTTAATAGCTCATCTTCATATGTGATTCAATAGTAAATACAATCGCTTTCATGCTCCATCGCCTTTTTGCGCACAGAGCTTCAGAAAAATAGGTGGTCGTCGACTCCTTCCTTGGTGCACATCAAGGAACTGCGTTTTCGATCACTGACACTATCTACCCAAAACGAACTTAGTCGGTTTTTGGATAACTTCTGTCCGTAAAACTGACACATCAGGCCACTATGAATGAGCAATCACGGTTGTAGGAATTTTGATCGGTCGAGAGCCATCAGGATGGTTTGCAATCTTCTGAAGATATTTCCTGAAACGTCACCAGGCTTTCACCAGATAATACTTATGCCTTTTAATACGTACTCCTTTTTACACGGTCATTTGCTAAAGACGGGGATATGGACAACCTATGTAGTTACAGTATTCTTTATAGTTTCAATATTATTATGATAGACTAAGTATATGACGATGCCTACTCTAACGGTGAACTTCGCATGTTGCTATGCCTCGAATGCTGGTGCTAAGATATGTTGGTCTGAAGGAATCAGAAGTTTGTATAATATCGTTGTATAGGCTTTCCGAATTACCCAAGCAGCTATGCGATATACTGGAACCTAAATTTATATGTGGGACGTCTTACTCCCTGACATAGATTAATCATTTACAGCCATCATCGGTGGCAGCTCTTCTGGGGAAGCTAGTTTTTTAAACTTCCGTATAACCAGTGACTTCTTTAACACGTTCAAGTTATAATTGAGCCAGGGAAGGCTGACGCTAGTGTAAACAGTCACAAAAGCGGAGAAATTAGAGCTATTCTATCTGTAAATAACTCACCCATATGCTCAGGCCATAGCGTCATATTCCACAAATTACTGATCACGTAAGCCCACTGATGCCAGAAAACGCTTACATTTCTACGAATGTAATTTTCTATTAATAAAGAGTAACTTGT